TTTACAAAAATACAAAACATACATATAATAACACATATATATATATAATATATATATATATATGCACAAATATATAAATTTATGTATATATAAAATGCATATATAATAAAATGTATATATATTTCATATATATAACATATATATGTATATGTATACATATATATATATAATATATCATATATGTAATATGCATATGTTTAAAAATATTATTATATATTAAATATTATTTTAATATATATAAATAACATATAGATCATATGTATATATATATATAAAGTCAAATAGTTTTTATGAAAAAAGAAGAATGTATATATAAATAGAGAGAGAATGAAAAAGAGAGAGAAAGAAAAATATAGAGAAAGATGTGAAAATATATATATAGAATATAGAAATGTAAAAGATAAAGAAAGAAAATATATATATGTATATATATATATATACCATATAGAATTATTACAAATATATATAACACATATATATATATATTAATACATTATATACATATATATATATATATATAAAAAAATATATACATATATATAATACATATATATACATACATATATATATATACAATATATATATATATATATACATATATATATAATATATATATCAAAAATACATATAACATATATATATAAAATATATAAAATATATATAAAATATATAATATATTATAATAATATAATTTAAATAATATAATACAAAATATAATAATAATAATAAAATATATACATATATATATAAATATAAAATAATATAAAATATATTACATAATATAATATATAATACATATTTACATAAAATACATAATTATACATACAAAATTTTACATAAAACATATATATATATATAAAAATATATTAAATATATATACATACATATTAATACATAAAAATATATATAAAATATAATAAAACATATAAAATAATATAAAATATAATCTACATATATAAAAATATATATAATAATAATATAATACATATATAATAATAATAATATACATATATTATATAACATATATAAAATAATATATACATACATATATATGCATAAAAATATACATTTTATAATGAAAAATAAATATATAAAATACATATTATTTCATTTTAAATTTCATACATTTTTTTATATCATACATTAAAATTTTTTCATCATATTTTTTTCTCTTAATTTTCTAATTAAAATTCATTTTATATTACTAATTTCTTTTTTATTAAAATTTTTTCTTTCTTTATTTATATATTTTTTATTTCATTTTTATTTTCTATTTTTAATTTTTTTAAAAACTTTATCTTTTTCATTTTTTTTTTTAATTATTTTTATTTTTATATAATACATATAATAAAATATACATATATATATTTATATAATCATTAAAATCTTTATATAATATAATACATAATATATTATATTAATAATAATAATATACACTTTTATATATAATCATAATATAATTATAAAAATATATAATAAAAATATATTATACAATAATATACATAAAATATCAATAAAATATAAATACATATATATATATACAATATACAAATATATATAAATTAAATTTTTTAAAAATATATACAAATAATATAATACTTATATATAATCATAATAAAACATATATATATCATATACATAAAATATATACTATATATACATACAAATATAATAAAATAATACATACATATATATAATTAAAATACAAATAATAATATAATACATAAAACATATACATAAAATATATACATTAAAATACATTATATATACATATAAAATATCATATATATGCATGTATTTAAAAATACATGATCATTGTTATACAATTACATATATTATTAATTAAAAGTAAAAACATTATATTAAAATTTTTATTTACATTATAATCATATATATCATCTTATAAAAATATACATTAAAATATACAAAAATATATTCATACATATATTAAAATTCATACATATTTAAAAAATTTTATACATCATTAAACATAAATATACATTTATATATTATTATAATAATATACAAAAATATATATAATATACATATATATATATATACATATATATACATACATATATATACATACATATATACATATACATATATATACATATACATATATATATATATACATATATATACATACATATATACATACATATATACACATACATATATATATACATATATATACATGTATACATATATATGTTTACATATATACATATACATACATATACATATATACATATATACACATATACATGTATATACATATGTATATATACATATATATATATATATATATATATACATATATACATATATATATATATACATACATATATATATATATATATATATATACATATATATATATATATATATATATATACATACATATATATATATACATGCCATATATATATACATATATATATATATACATTTTACATATATATATATGGACATATATATATATATATCTGTTTTTACTTTCAGCTATATATATATTATCGAGATGGTTCAATGATATATTCATTTAAGTAGCAGTAATGTGTTCTATGTTTTCAGTGTTTCGTTATGTTTTAAACGACAGACAGATACAGTTACATTTGAGCTTTTATTTAATTTTTAAGAGTTGTTCTGGCTTTTTGTTTTCTTTTTCTCACAAAAAATTTAAAAAAACCAATTCTTTTTTAATTTATATACTTTTATTATAAATTTAAAATAAATTAAATTTCAATATTTTTATTAAATTTTAATTTAAATAATTAAATTTTATTTCCCCAATAATTACAATTTTCTTTCCCTAATTAATATTTTAAATTTTTCTTTTATTTTATAATTATTAATACAAACTAAAATTAACTTTAAAAATAAAAAAAAAATAATAATATCAAAATTATATACAAATATATAAAATATATAATAATTATTACATTTTAAAATTTTAAAACATATATATATATACATAATTAAAAATATATACATAATATAATATAAATATATAAAATAATATACATAAATATTAAAAATATAATTATATATATAATAAATACATATAAATAATGCATAATCCTTCCTTTAGCCATGTTTCGTTAAAAACGACAGACAGAGCCCAACTACAATTGAGCTTTTATTTAATTGAAGAAATTTGAAAAAACAAACAGCTTTCTTTTTATAGATTTAAAATTGTGTAAGAACGTCGAATTTCTGTTTTTCGAACATTAGCTATACTTTGCCATTATCAAGGATGGTTCAATATGGACCTTCATTATATATGTACATTCATATATATGTTCATATATATATACATATATATATATATATACAGTGCGTTCTGCTTTTCATCGAACGTGTCAATAAATTCTGTTTTCTTCAGACTTGGTGCTTCTTGCAGATTAAATTATACTTTCAGACAAGAGGATATGGTCAATAAAAAAGAAAGTTCTATATATTTTCTCAAAAAATGTAAAAAGGCACTGTTTCAAGTGTTCGGTCTGATTAAGCTATCACCTTATAAATCCTTAATATGGGTAAGAAAAATGTTCTTACTGAAAACGATCATGCTGAAATTACTGGCTTGCTTAGATGTCGTCTGTCAACGCTAGAAAGTTCAAAAAAGTTACATAAAGACTACCGTACGATCAAAGCATTCGTCTTAGGCAGTAAATCATGCAGAAAGACACCTAAACGATCGCGTTTGCGAAAGTTAACTGCCAGAGATCTTCGTAAAATTAAATATGAATTCTCAAAGGAACCGGCATGAAACTAGTAAAAAAATATTTGAAAGCGTTGGAGTGCCCAAAGTTGGTAAAACTACCCGTTGTGAGGTCCTCAAGACCCTTGCCAAAGTGAAGAATCTTATCAAGAGGCCTCCATTGAGCAAAGCAAACAAGATGAAATATATATATATATATATATATATATATATGCTGAGGGGTCCTCCACTTTTTACAGAAATGAACTCCCCCAGTATATACATATATTACTGCTACGTGAAGACTCGAAACAAAACAAGAGGAGGAGTGAAAGGTTGTAAGTAACCGGAAGAGTGAGAGTGATGGTAACAGACAGACAGAACGAATGTAGCGAGCAACAGTCACAGTGAGCGAGCACGTAGACTCAGTAAGAAGTCATACAGCGATACTTCAATACCAAAGACTGTATATATATATTGCTACTAACCCGCATTTCTGTAACTACTAACCTCCATTACCAGTTTGTATTATTACGTTAATAAATGTATTTTCCTATATTCCTTCTTGGCGTTTGTTATTTATTGGTACCGGATTTCCTCCCGGAATCCACAACAATATATATATATATATATATATATATATATAAATATCATAAAGAAAACAGCAACTTGCTTTCAGCGTGGTCCGGCGACACACATTGTTTGTGGGTGACTGTTCCAGAAGGTCTAAACTAGGAGACTAATAAAATCTGTGACAATCTTTTGCACCGATGCCATGTTATTAGTAGTTTTAAAATTTGTGGATAGCCTTGTACACGCCTTCATCTCTATAATCAAATCCTATGTGCTCATTTACTGTCATGACATTCGTCATGTATATATGTATTAAAAATGAATTTTCTCTGAGAATGAATTTCCTTTATTTCTAGTTGAGACGAAATTTTGTTTTTCATCTCTATATATTTAATGACTAAATTCTAATAGATAGCAGTTGCATTCATATTGGTATATTCTCAATATATGAATGAATAAAATTAAAGTATTTTATTCTTAGGGTCTACAAAGAGGTTTCATCGAATGTTCTTATTTTGAACAATGATGCATAATAAAACTGAGGTTTTGATATATCAGTTCATTTTCAAGCCATATATAAACGTAGGAATCTTTGTATCTGCATATGTCTCAATGCAATTCCAATCTGTGCCTTATTGAATTATGTTAGATTATTTGTGCGTTAGCTCTCCCAATAAGCACGATAGTCTTCTCACGTCTGATAGAAGGCGCGAAGAAAAATTTAGCAGAGCAGAGAGTAGAGAAGATAACAGATTATTTTGCGAAAGATAACAGAGAATAGAAATATTGAGAATAAAAATGGTGGTATAGACAGAAAAATATTAAAAGGAATATCTGTGGGAAAGATATTAATTAGAGAAGAAAGAGAAAAAGAGAGAGAATGAAGAGAGAGAGAGAGAGAGAAAGAGATGGAGAGAGAGAAAGAGAGAGATGATGCTGATAATGATAAAGACGTTGAATAAGACGAAGACGACGATTCCGGAAGGAAAACAAAATTATATACAGAAGAAACAGAAAGAGAAAATGATGGATGAATTAAAAAAAAGAGAAAGTTATTGAAGAAACAATATATAGCCAAAGAAACGTTAAAATGCACACAGAGGAAAGGATTCTCTTTCTATAAGGAATAGATAGGGGCACCTCAAGGTGGTGTAATGGTTAGCAAGTTTGTCTCGCTAGAACAATTACGACTGAGTAGTGAGTTCGATCCTTTCGACTTTGTGCCACATCTAAGCTACCTTGCAAAATAATTATAATAAATAGATAAAGAGAAGAAGAGAGTATGTTCATGAGAAAAATTGATGTTGTGGTAGAGAAAGGTTGATGCAGAATGAAAATGAATAATATTGTGACAAGAAAAATCGTGCGTTTAACCAGGAAAAATATAATGAATGAGGACAATAAGTTTGAGAATGATAGATAGATTGATATTAGCAAAAAGTAAAAGAAGGAAACTTGGCAATAAAACTTGAAATTTAGAAAGTAAATTAGTAGAGACTGACGAATAAGAAAAGACCGAGAATAAATAAGAAGAAAAAAATGAAATATAGAACAGTTGCAGAAAAGGAAGATAAAGAAAAATACAACATTGAAAATTAAGTGAAATATAGGTTTAACTGAAGGAATAGTATGCAGAATTTTAAAAAGATGTAGAAAAAAAGGAATATAATGATGAATAGGAAAAGAGAAAGAAAAGAGCTTTGGACTGAATTCATAAAACATAGTAGGTTGGAGAGTAAAAAACATGCTGATTTTAAAGGAAGGTGAAACATGAAAGGATACTTAGGATAAGGTAAAAAAATATATATCATGTAATAAGCAGAAATAATAATAATAATGAGAAGAAGAAGAAGAGGATGTAGGAGAATGTCGAAAATAAAGAATGAAGATGAAAGGGAAGAATTATTAGAAAGAAATATTAGATGAAAAAGTGGAAGAAGAAAAAGTATAATGTACAGGACGTAAATAAGCAAGATGGAAGAATAATACGGTCAAGAACAAGGTAGTAAATATCACTACAACTAATAATACTAATATTAATACTACTACAATTAATAATAATATTAATAAAAATAGAAGACAGGATGGAATAAGAAAGGGGATCGAAGTAATTGATAACAAAGAAGTGACAACGAAGAAATGGAAGTAGAAAAAAATAAAATGAAGAAATGTAAATATAATAATGATAATAATAATAATAATAATAATTAATAATAACCAGAAGAAGACGAAGTCGAAGAAGAAAAAGAGATAATGGAATAAGAAGAAAACAGACTAATAGAAGAAGAGGATGATGAGGAAAAAAAGAATAAAAAATAAAATGAATTTACTGAAAGAAAAATTAAGATGAAAGAAGAAAAGAAAAAAATAGGCGGAAAACGAAAAGTAGGTAAAAAACAAGAACAATAAAACAAGAAAAAGGTACTGAAGTTATAAGATCAAGAAGAAGCTAAAAAAAATATAATATACAAAAGAGAGTTCATAAATAAATCTGAGCAAAAAACAAAAAGAAGAAATTACCATATTGAAAATAATCCTAAAAAGGAAAGTAACTATATGAGAAGAAATGGTGAAGTTGTTAATTCCGCTAAAGAATAAGATTATCAAAAATATCTCTAAATCTCTTGCAATAAGAAAAACACAAGAAAGGAACGAAGAAGAAAAAGAAGAGGAAAAAGATTGATAAAAAATAAAGAAGCACGCACGAAATTATCGTTTGGGGATAAGAGAAAGGAACTGAAGAGTCACGCGATCATATGCAAGATGGAGGCATTAATGAGTTGCATGCACGCGCATGCGTCATTGTAAGAGCGAGCTTGAACATGTGTGTAGCAGAGATACTTCTTTTTTTTTATCATTGTTCACGAACGCCCATGTGCCTAAGGAATCTGTTATTATGTATGCAGAAGAAAGCATTCTTTCTTTGGTGGTCTGTCTCGAACTTGGTGGATGCTAGCACGAATCTAAATAAAAAAAAAATAATGAGACAGATATGGTAAAAAGAAAAATAGAAATAAAATGATAAGGAATAAGCCAGTAGGAAAGGGAGTATTATCGTCAAAATAATGACCATATAATAAAACAAGCACCTCTTTCATATATCTCGTTGTTTCCCAAAACAGAGATAAACACTAGGTTTTGTCAAGAAAGGCTTTCTTATTAAGCAAAACAAAAACAAGACTGCGATCAATTTTTTTTCTCCCGAACGACAAGTCGAATATACAGCATAATATAATGCTGCTAAATAAATTCTGGGTTTGTATGAAGTATGGATATTTATATTAATTTTTGAAAGTCAGCAATATATATCATTTCTGCAAGAGAGAATCAGTTCTGTATTTTGGTTATTAATAATAACAAATATTAAGTATTTTTATTGTGTAATTTTCGATTAGAAATATTAATACTCCGTCTAAAAGAAAGTTAACTTTTTTAAACGAATAAATAGAGGTTACTCATTTATAGGACGCACTGGGAATATTACACGAATTTACATGCGCTTCTGAGACCAGAGAAAATATTTCGCAGAAATAGAACAGCGACATATATCTTCAAAATCTCAACAAGATTTCAGAGAAAAATTGGGATGAACAAGTACACATTCCAAAAGCTGAGCAGAGAATTGCGAGACAGTAGGATATCTTTGATAACAAAGAAAAGAATCTGTCTATATTTCTGAGATGAGGTATTATGTACATTATTTACATTATTGTCCTCATTTTTTTGGTCATAACTATCACAACGTTTCGGCCTTCTTCAGGTGGTTGGAATGAGCTCTGGTAAAAACATGCAATGATAACAGCAAAATTGCAATATGAGCACTGGTAAAAATGGTTGCTGAAGACATTAGGTTTATAATACCCAGAAATTCATACCCAGATGTCCTCAAGGACACATGGCACAGTGGATAAAGGCGTTGGTTAGATCCAGTGAAAGGAGAACTTTCAGAGGGAAATTAACAGGAGATAACTGATAACTGACATCCATCAAACATGGCACGTGGAACTAGAACAGTCTACCCCAGTGAGCGAAATAAAGGGTTCAGTTCGACATTCCAACCACCACGGCCGAAACGTGATAGATATGGCAAAAAAATGAGGACAATAGTCAGAATAATGTAAATAAGGGAAAGAATACTGAGCTGTTACGTGACATTTGTTCTTTACGCCAACGAATGTTGGACGGTTTCCTCAAGAGATTCGAGGCGACTGAGATGTGGTTCTACAGATGGATGCTAAGGATATCATGAACCGAGCATGTGAGCAATGATGAGGTCTTAGGTTACAAATAAGAAGACTTATACTTAACACCATCTGAAGTTTCTGGGACACATAATGAGGAAAGAGGGCCTGGAAAACCTGATACTCACAGGTCAAATAGAGGGAAAGAGAGATAAGGGAATACGTGGCGAACTTGAGCAGATGAATGAGAGAACGTTGTCTAGGGGAGGAAGCTGAGCTGAGAGCTGCAAGGGATAGAGGGAGGTGGATCAAATTTGTAGCGCTAAAGAACGTTGCTAACAGTATCATGTGTGGAACTGATGATCATTAGGTGTAAATGGAGGAGAAAAGGGACAATTGAATTAGAATCATTAAGAGACAGTGGAAATATGTCGGGGGCAGAATGAGGAAAAAGAGCTTAGAGTATTTAATACTTAAAGATTATAAAGGAAGATAGAGACAATAACTAAGTAACCTATCTAAATGAATAGCTGAACGCAGACTGGGAGAAAAGGTAAGGGGATAACAAATTGCGAACATTAGAGAGATGCGGGGAAACAAGTTCACCCAGTCACGAAAGGACAGGGAAATTAAAGAAAAATAATTTTAAAAAGAAAAAAAAAAAAAAAAAAAAAAAACAGGCGATTAAAATGTCTACTAAAATATCACTCTAATAATGAATCTGACATATTAAAAGATAAACATTTGGTTAAAGAGGATCATTTACTGTTACAAAACACGATGTCACACACCCGACAATGATTCAGGTAACTATATTTAAAGTGAAGTTTCTTAATGTTTACCTGATATTCAGTGTTTAGTATTCTTCTTTTTGGTTACTGTATCCTAAAACATAACCTATTAACTTAATTTTAAGTGTTCATTTTATTAAAGATTCCAAAATGCGAAAAAATATGGCAGGGCATGACGAATAGCGACAAACTATAAGACAAAAAAAAATACAATTATTCTAGTTTATATGAAATTATTCCAAAAAATCTCAGAAACAGTTTTAAAATAATTAAATATTTCTTGCCGATCTATACGAAAAAAGTTTTAAATTATAGAAATATATAAATATCTGAGGAAGTAAATTGTTCGTCAAAATGAGGGCCTGCTGAAAATTTTTCTGTCCTGTAAGAGTCATGAAATCAGTATGTTGACTAAAAACCCTATTTTTGGAAAGTGGTGAAAGCAGAGCCTTTTTGCAGCATTTATATATATATATATATATATATATATATATATATATATATATATATATATAATAAAACAGATCATTTTAATATTCCATGTAATAAATTATTTCACCACAGCCCTTTTAAAGGACTGCGGATCATCAGACCTTACTTCCAAACAAAAAATGTAAAGAAAATTTACACATTTTTCACATATCAAACATATGTAAGTTAACGAAGTGAGGAAGTGAGGGGGGAGAGAGAAGACATGAGTGAGTTTAGCAGATATTGACACATTTAAACGGTTAAATTAACTGAAGTTA